GGGGGGGGCGAGACACAGGCCAGAGACTGTGAGGAGGGGGCATTGAAAACCCTCCGGCCAGCCTCTACCCGTCCTCAGCAGTCTTCTCAATTTTGTTAAGAGTTAGCATCTTCTGGAGTAGGATTTGAACAATGCAATGGAGAAGGGCCTCGGAGGGCGTGAAGAGAAGCTGTGAGGTAGAAGAGTCCAGAACAACGGCTGTGTGTGTGTGTGTGTAGGGTAGACTGTGGTGTTGGGGCACCTTGGCAAGCTGGGTCCAGGTGGTAAAGTCATCCTCTTTCTCCATTTGGATAAAGGCCACATAGGTGCGGCCCTCCGTGTCTGGCAGGAAAGAGTCTTCACAGGGGTTCTTGCTGTGGTCCAGGGTCTCGGCCTCACTGCAGTGGGGAGGTAGGGGACTTAGGTCAAGGCAAGGTTCACTTCATAGGCACGCTATACGGGGGGCCGGGGTGCTTGGTTTAATGGTCTGCTGCTTGCTATCTTGGAATTCCAGGGAGCCTGCATTTTAAGTTCATAGTGGAGCCAAGACCCATTTAAGTCATTCCTCCCCGTTCCCTGCCACACACAGCAACGGCCCATAGCCATACCTGAGCAGCCTGTGAATTTCCACTTCATAAGCTTCCTTCTTCAGACTACAGGGGAGGAAGTGGGTGATTGGAGGGGGCAGCGGCCCCCTATCATCCCAGGGGCAGGGCGAAGGGTCACATGGGAATTGGGGCAGGTCCCAGGGCTGGAGGGAACAGTTGGGGACTGAATCCTCAGAGGTTGTAGGCAGCCTTCCCCCCTCCCCTCTCCCCAGACCCCACCTGTCCACATTCCGAAGCTGGACACCTGGAACCGTGTTGAACTTGTGCTTCTTGAAGTAGGCTTCCTAGAGTGGACATGAGGGTGAAGTTAGGGCCTCATAACACCCAATCTACACCTGCCTGCTTGTTCACACACTTGTCCACAGGGTCGCAGGTGAACACCAGGACCTGAAAAGGTCCCGCTAATGCCTCCCTTTGTAGCACCCTTGGCAGGCTCTTACGAGTCCTGAGGGGGCTCTACCAATCCCAGAGAGCTCATGGCCACACAGGGAGTTCATGCCACTGACCCCTGAGCTAGTCCTGTCTCCAGCGGCGCCCCCTGGGCCTGCTGCTGTAGCCATAGTGAACTGTTAAAGGCCCTGTGGGGCGGGGCGGGAGTGGGCAGAGAGCCTAGCTGGACTAAGAGAAGCAAGTGCTGTGACTCAAGTCGTGAGTCGGCCTCCGGTGAACATCTATCTTTTTAGCAAGGTGGGGCAGGGGGTTGTATCCGCTGGCCTGGGGTGGTGGGGAGGGGGGAATGCTCTTCTGCCTTCTAGGAGGTTCCAAGCTGGATGCCGTCCATTTCTTTGGGGTTGGGTGGTTTCCAGGTCTCCTTTGCTATCTCTGAACTGCTGGCCCCCTGGACATAGCCAGCTGGGGTATGGGGACCAAGGAGTCTCCCTGCTCACTTCAGACTAAGGCTTGGGACCTAGCACTTTCAAGGACAGGGGAGGGTGCAGAGCTCGCAGGGCTAGAGAAGTGCTTGGCAGCAAACATACCCTCTCTACACCCACAGTCTAGTGCTCAGAATAGTAATAAGGAAAATAATACCAGCTGGCCCTTATATAATGTTTCTAATTCTAAAGACATTATATGTTGCTGTTAGGGGCCATCGAGTCAGCGCCCACCCATAGCGACCCCGTGCACAACAGAAGCAAACAGTGCCCAGTCCTGCACCTTCCTCACAATCCTTCCTGTGCCTGAGCCCACGGATGGAGCCTCGGTGGGAATCCCTCTCTTTGAGGGTCTTCCTCTTCACGGCCCCTCCCCTTTAGAGACATCCACTTTTCTAATCCTCACCACCTTATCGGGTAGGTACTATTGTGAACCTTCCTTTCCCAGATGAAGAAACAGGCAAAAAGAAGGGGAGGTCCTGTCCCCAAGGTCACATGGCTAGGAAGTGGCAGGGCTAGGGTGGATCCAGAGTCCTTGTTCTTAACCCTCCCAAGCGCCGCTGCCGCCTGCTCACATGGAAGTAGCCGTTCATGTTGAGGCCAACAATGCCAAAGTGGTAGGAGCGGGACACGTCGGGGATGATGCACTCCCGGCCGCGGCGCTGCTCAGGCATCCGCATCCACATGTCCCAGTCCCAGAGCTGCGGGGCATGGAAGATGGTGAGGGCTCAAAGGTGTACAGAGGAGTGGGCAACCCGGCCCACTCACCCTTGCCCGCCACGGCACCTTTTCTGGTGTGGGCCACTTGGGCTCAAGCTCCTCCTTGTACAGGGACCTCCTGAGCACCCAGCCTAGTCCAGGCATGGTCTCCACGCGGTATAGGAGGGCCGGGTCTTCAGCCGTGTGTTCATAGCCCTGGGGACAGGACCCCAGGGGATGAGCTCCGGCTATCTACAAACTCCCCCCACTGACCATGGGCCACCGGGCCTACCTGGTCATTCCAAGCTGAGATGCAGTATAGGCTGTCATCCTCCTCCAGCAGGTGGATGGACTGGCTCAGGAAGCTGAGAGAGGCAAGGTTAACCCAGTCGCACAGTAGTCCTGGCTGGCCGGGGGCTAGGGTTCAGGGGTCATGTCTCCCTGCCCCAAATGCCCACTGTCCAGTCTCTGTTCACCTTCTCCTACCCTCTGCTCCAGACCTAACACCTGTCAACGTACCCTTTCCCAATGCTTTGCCCCGACTCTTAACCTCGCTATCTCTAGAAAGTTCTCCAAAGCACCTCGCTGCCTTCTTCCCTGGAGACCCGGTCAAGCCAGGGTGGCCTGGGGTGCTTCATAGGTGCAACCCCTCACCTGAAGAAATCCACAGCAATGTCCAGGTCTTCTTCCAGAACCACAGCAAACCTGGCCTCCTGCAGGGCAGGGTGAGGGGCACAGGTTCATCCCAAGCCACCCTGGTCCCGCCCTCACCTCCCTGCCCCCAGACCTGGAGGACGAGGCCCAGGGCTGATTCCGTACCAGGACCAGACCTCGCGCCCACATGTGCCCTCCCCAGCTCCAGAGTCCTGTCTTGCCTACTCACGGGAAACAGGTTGAAAGTGGCAGTGAGGCTGGCCTTGTAGTGCTGGGGAGGGACGGGAGGCAGCCCGTGAGCAGTGAGGTGGCGGGCCGGGCCTCGGCCTGCCCCTCCCACCCTTGCCCAGCAGTACCTGAGACACACGGGCATTCTTGATGCTGATGGGAGTGTGCTGGATGCCCCTCAGGCCAAATAATGCCACCACGTCCATCGGTTCCTGGGGAGGTAAGGCGGGGACAGGGGGGTGGGAGGGAGGCAGGCTCTCAGGTCACCACCCTGTCTCTGCCCACATATGCAGGCTTCACATGACAGAGCAGGTCTCCAGGCTGTCGCCCTGGCCAGCTTGGAGAGAGGCAGCTCCCAGCCCCAGCCTTGTGAGCCTGAGCACCCCACGCCCCATTCACCTCATAGTAACCGTCGATGAAAACTGTGATCATCTGGGGAGATACTCCCTGGGCCGAGAGCAGAGAACGCAGCATCCTAGGGAGGCCAGGAGTGGGTTAGCGCCTCTGGGTCCCTGCACCAGCCCAGGGTGCCTCGTGCTCCCCAACGCCAACCCACACAGGTGAGTGGGCCCAGCACGTGGTGCCCATCCACCCCTTCCAGCAGATCCTCCTGTAGGCAGATGAGCCTGGGGTCCCCACCTGCTCGGTTCAGTGAGGGGAACAGCCTGCTCCAAGCTTACCTATACAGGTAGTTGGGCCGGTTCCCTGCAATCACAGCTACAGGTACGTTGAGGACCTTGTTGTCGGGGAGCTGAGGGGGAGGGAGACAGCTTTTAGATCTTTTCCAACTTCTTTCTCCAAACCCAGAACCCCACCTAGGGAACAGTACTCCAGAGCAAGGGATGGAGGAGGTGTCTCAGAACCTAAATTCCAAGGTAGGCAAGGAAGAGGTGGAGGGTACTCTCTTACCTCCTCCTGCGTCCCTCCCAGATTAGAGGAAGGGCAGACCACCCTGGACCTTCCCTCAGCCCCTTGCCAAACCTAGCGTCTAAGACTGCTTACGGGGTCAGGGCTGAATTCGATGGGCGTGGGGTCTTTGCAGCTGCACACACTCCCATAGCCCTCAACTTTGCTGCAGAAGCGCCGGCGGCGACGGTTCAGCTCTGTGTCTGCCCAGTGGCACTCTGCCTCTGCGGGAGGAACACAGACAGCAGTGCTGGGGACACGAGGCCAGTGTGGTCTGGAAAGGTAAAAGGCCCAAGTCCCACGAAGGGGCTAAGAATTGGTGAAGACACCCCACAGCAAGTCAGGGTAGCTTGGTGTCTACAGCCCACCCACCAGCCAAGCTCCTGCCCCGTGAATCAACCCCACCTTCAGCTGAACTTAGTGGCACGTCTGTCTTCAGCAGGACTGGGTCCCCCCAGGAGGACAGGGCAGGCGACTTAGAATGCTTCTCCCCCAGGACCGGACCTGGCAGGAGCAGAAATGAGGGGCAATAGGAACTCAGGCTCCAGTTTGGGGCCTCTGGCCCATCTCCCTGCCGATGCTCATCCCTCCCACCACTGGCTATGTGCCTCCCACCCTAGCCCATCTCCTGGGGTTCGGTTCCTGACAGGCCCTTGATGCTGGCACCTCCTTTTCGTCCCACGAAGGCCCAGGTGTCCCTCCAGCCCAGGGCAGGGCCAGCTTGGCTGCCCAGACTCCTTAGCAGAGCCTTGGCCGTGTCCTTGAGGTGAAAGGAGCCCTCATCCTAGAGGAGCAGAGAAGACAGTCAATATGCGTGGTATACTTCCGGGAGACGGGACTCTCTACGGCATGTACCACCTCTTACCTAAACAGGCTCATTAAATTGTCTTCACAAGCCTCTGCAGTTGATCTCGTTTCAGATGAGAGAACTCAAGGTTTGCATTCCAAGAACTAGCCAAGGTCACGCGCTTCCTAAGCCCTGGCAGCAATGATCCCTTAGAGGGAGCCCTGGTGGGTACACATTGGGCTGCCAGCCACAAGGTCAGCAGGTGGGAATCACTAGCCACTCCTCCTCAGGAAAAAGATGGGGCTTTCTACTCTCTTCGAGCATGACAGTCTCAGAAACTCACAGGGGCAGTTCTACCCTGTCCTCCAGGCTCTCTCGATGGCAGTGAGCTTGGTTTGGATGATCCCACATAGGGAGCCCTGGAGGTGTCATAGGTGACACATTGCACATGTGGCTGCCAACCACAGGTCAGCAGTTCGAACCACCAGCGCCTCTCGGGGAGAAAGATGAGGCGTTCTGCTCTTGTGACTACTGAGCTTGGAAAACCACAGAGGCAGTGCTTTCCTACAGGGTGGCTTTGAGTTATGACCCCACACCCTCTGCCCTCTGTCCCTTACTAACTCCCTGCTCCCTTTTCCTATCACTCAACGCCCGCCCTCCTTTCTTCTGCGCCAGCTCCATGCTGCTTTTCAAGCATCTTCTGACCTCGGAGCCGCTGTGCTTGCCAGGATTTCTATCCGGAGTGTCCCCCATCACCATCCTCCCCTCTCACTTCTTCCAGCTTTCTGTGCCAGATGCCAGGTCCTTACAACGGGCTTTCCTTTCTAAAACAGCACCCCCTTTGCTTGTCTCCCAGGCTTTATTACTTTCCTTTGACCCAGAAGCTATCATTTCCTGATACTGCACCTCGACTCGGTTGTATCTGGGGGCTATCTCTCGTTGCTGAGCAGCAGAGCCTGACTTGCGGGCCCCATTGGCATCCTTAGCACTCAGGAGTGCTGGGCCCGGAGCTGGTGTTCGGGGACTGTTTGCAGAACTAGTAAAAATGGCATGGTTAAGAGTAGACCCCGAGTCACGGTCATCCGGGGCTTATTCCCACCACGCCGTATTAGGGGCACAAAAGAACCAAGACCCTGAGCAGGGACAAGGAAGACAGCAGTGCCCAGGCCCAGTCACTGACCTTGATGGTGCAGATGAGCACTCGACCGGGGGCCACCATGTTGAGGAAGAGCACCATGGCTTCGTCCTCATGAGGAGAGTACGTGTCAAACACACGCTTTGCCATCACATGGCCCTGGCAGGGGACATACCTCTTGTGAGCTGGTGTCACCACAAGGAGACCAAGAGTCCCTCATCCCCCTGGCATCTCACCGTGGCCTGGTTGAGGACAATGACATGGATGCCCCGGCCCTGCTCCCGGGCTTCGTCCTCCAGCACCTACAGGGCGGCAACCACAAAGTCATCACTCTGGCATGCACGTCCCTTGCCGGTGGGCACTTCCAGGGCCATGAAGCCTTCCCTCCTTCCTCTGGCCCTGCCCTTACAGGTCTCTCCCAGCCCAGCCTGAAGCCCGTCACAGAGGCCTCCACAGCACTCTCACCCAGAGAGCTCCCCTCTCTCGACCATCGTCCCCTCTGCGACCTCTGTGGCTCTTGAAAGAGTCCTGGGCTCTCTCGGCCTCATCCCGAGTGTGCACAACCCTCTGTCTGACTGAGCCACTTGAGGTCGGGCCAGATTCGATTACCTCCAGCTCCCCAGGGCCCCGTCTAAGGCTGAGTCCAAAGGAGGCAGTGGTTCTAAGCAACGAGGAAAGCCTCTGAAATCAATCAATCAATCAATGAACTGCCTCCTACTACAAATAGCCGCTTTTGAGATACCACTACATAGCAGGCATCTCACAGACGTTTCACTCAGTCGTTGAACAAGTAGAAATCATTAGTCCCAGTCCACAGAGGAGGGGCTGAGGTCTCCAAAAGTCACACAGCTACACAATGGCAGAGCTGCAGGTCCCACCCAGGCAGTGGGGCCCCAGAGCCAGTGTGCCCGAGCAGAAGGCCATTGGCAGGCTGCCAGGCCCTGGTTCACTCACCGTGGTACCATCCACTGCCACATACACCTTGCTGCGGCTCGAGTACACCTCCACATCCAGGACCCGCTGGGGGCCCCTGCCTCTGCGGTGTGGTGGTTCCAGGCGGCCAAGGGGGTCATCTGCAGGGGCGCAACAGGCCATGGAGACCATCCTCACAACAGAATGGCCCCTGTTGGGAAATGCTGACACTCCTCACCACCACCACCCCCAGCCCATCCGCAGCCGGGCCCCACCATAGTCTTGCTCCGGCTCTGAGTCTTCGTTGGCCTCGCTAATTGCTCGACGAGTGTCCAGGATCAACTTGATGTTGACGATCACAGTCACCAGCAGGAACAGCACCGCTCCTGTCTGAGGGGGTGGGGCGGGGACGACTAAAGAGGGGCACCTCCTCCAGGTAATAGAGGGTCTTCCTGAAAGGAGGGTTCTGGCTGCACTGGGGACACAGGGAGAACCTGAGGCCTGACTTGCTTCCCTTTATCTACTCAGCTCTATCCTCGGCCTGGGGCCCGGTTTCTCGGTAATCTCCCGTAATCCTTCGTCCTCCACCTGGGCCCTCACTGCTCAGAGCTCCTGCGTTCTTCCACTTGAAGGCTTACGTTCCTAGATCCCCTCCAGTTAGTTCCAAGAGATGGCACCAGTCTCAGGGGACCAAGCTTGGGAGGGGAACACCAGGATTTCCTCCCCACCTTCCCCTTCCCATTGACCTGACAGGTGTGTGCCTCTGGGCAGAAGCCCTGACCGGACTTCAGAAACCAGAAACCGAGGTCAGGCTTGGGTTCTGAGGCCAAAGCTGAATTCTGGGCCCAAGTCGCTACCTGGTGGGGCCTTGAGCCTTGAGCCGCAGCAGTTTCCCCTTTCCAGCCTGGGGGCAGCCAAAGTGGGGCCCAGTGCCCATGGTCTAGGCTGGGGTTAAGCTGGAAGGGAGCCCGGGGGAGGTCTTGGGACATCCCTATACCTGACAGAACCTCCGCAGGGCCCGCTGGTTGGTCAGTTTATACTTCCAGGTAAGATACCAGCTCCGCTTCTTCCGAGCCCCAAAGGGCTTGATGAGGGGGCTGGTCTTCCAGTCGTCCATGCTGGATTGCGGGGGTCACCGTTGTCCCGGCCGGCCCATGGCTTCAGGAATCTGCAGGGGCCAGAGTGTCACGTGGGTAAGGTGCTGCTCTCAAAGTCTAAGGCCTTCTAGGGGAGATAGGGAGGGTCTTCCGGGAACTTTTCCCAGGAGGCCTGCGTGCTGCGTGACCTGGGGGAAGTGGCTCAACTTCTCTGGGCCTGGCAGGTAAACCTCAGGAGGTGTCTGAACACCTGGGAATTCCTCTGGGGCTGGAAAAGCTAGCTGAGCCAGGGCTGCCCTGGACTCTAAGAGAGGGGCGGGGGCTGGATCCTCAAGATTCAGCAGCCCCGAAATGGCCTTCCCAGAACTGGGGTGGCAAAGGGCAGCTACTGCCCGATCCTTCACCCGCTCCACCCTCGCCTTCTCCTATCTGGCCCCGCTTTCCTCCGCTCTGGATTCGAGACCTGCCGGGTCTGCGCGGCCCCTCCCCGAACCCCGCCCGAAGGCACTCACGGCTCAGGGGGCCAAAGCCCCACTCGGGCCCGCGCTGCT